TATGAGGCAATGGCAATTATGGTACGACAACAGCCCGGCTACAAGCAATTATAAGGTCTCATTAATTGTGTATCTTAGAATGAATGAAATGAAAATTTGTATTAAAAAAGCTACCAACTATATTTTTTCCTCTTAATCTTTCCTAATTTATTCTCTACTATATAATCTTGTTAACTTAATTTTCTTAGCCCTCTGGGGGAACTTCATTCTTACTTTAAATATTTACTTCTAGGACTGAGTAAGCTGGCAAACCCTCTGCAGAACCTTGGAGGGCTGGTCCCCTTTCCTTTTTTTTTTACAATAGGAATAGAAAAGAGTTTTATTTGAGCCACTATAGGACTATAGTTTGGAAGCCAGCTTCCCAGATTACTTTGAGAAACTTCTCTAGAGAAGCCTGGTTTTCAGTACAGTTTTATGTCTTGTGAGAACAAAGAACATCAAGCAAGTCAGGGATACATTCCTTCAAGGTTTATAAAAACAGATCAGCTCATGCACAACTAGTCAGTAAGGCCTTGGCACCTGGGAAGGGAGTCTTAGTATGGAAGGAGTACCAGCATTGGCATCCCAGGAAAGGAGGCATTTAATCTTTATTTTTAGCATGGACATTCTTTACTTCTGGTCAATGCACACTTTTCTTTAATAATTAAAGCAGATGTACAATGTATGTTTGATAGCACAAACAGGCTATTTTAGTTAACATAAAATGCAAGTTAACTCATGTATAAGCCAGAATGACTTGCCCATACCTCAATATGTGAACATTTCTTTTTATCACAGGTTACCAGAAACTAGTATCTTAATCTCACCCTAAAGGCTATAATGTACAATTTGCAGAATGATATTTTACTGGTAAAACATATTTGATTTCTGGGTGGTATAAGAGGAAGTTTCAGTTGCAAGCTAGAACATGACATCAAATTAAGGAACTGGCCTTGGAAAGTTCATCTGAGAAAGAGATGTGATACTAATATGCCCATTTTGGATTAAGTTATATAACCCAAGGTGTCCATGTGTGTGAGATGGACTACCATCTGGTCCTGGAATGAAGTGAGACTAATAAATTCACTTAAAATGTCAGCTTCAGTTTAAACTATAAGAACTGAGTGGTCCCCAAATAGAAAACCCAATAACTAAGTCCTTTGCTATTCAAGTTTCTTTAACACTCAGCAATAAACTAATCCCCAACTGCTAGAGTAACCTCAGTGGTTCTGACTCCTTTTTAGTGAATTTGTATGATATGGTGCTGATTATAATATTTTAAGAGAAAGCATAAAAACAGTTTACATATTTTGGAAATATATTCTCTAGTCTTTAGGAACGTAGTAAAGAATTATATCTACTCTACATCATCAACAATGACTTTTAAGGCACTAAAAAATTGTTTTTCTTTCTTAATGTATCAGCCATTCCAAGCTTCTATGAAGCTTTTTGGCATTTCAGGGTTTCCTAAGACCACTGGACTCAGCTCAGTTTTCTTTTTTAATTCATAAATATAAAAGATTTATATTTTTGGTATGGAGGGGCAAGGGATTTACCCTTGTCCTTCTTAAGTTAACATAACAAGATTCATTGGTTCCAGAGCAAAGGCTGTAATCTACATTGGGTATCGAGGTATGGGGAACTCATTATTATTAAACTCTCATATACTTAAGTATAAATCCTGAGCTTGCTTACTAAATACAAAAGGCATGGCCCATGGTTTCTCTTGGTTTCTTTCTTAGTTTAACTTTCTAGTTGAGGAAGGAAAACTTGTACACAAATTGAGAATAACAGCAGGAGCAGTATATGTACACAGCAGAATGAGGGGCAATGGCAATAAATGCTTACAGATGTTGAGGGGGAGGGGTAATTTTTGGCTGATGAGTTGGAGAGAGTTTAGTGTAGGAGGCATAGTTTGTGGTGAGTTTCAGTAACATTATCTTTTCACTGGTTTTACAGGGAACACGGCAAGCACTTTGCTTTTGCATGTGAAGGCTTTCTTTAGTTCATTAGAGTTTCTTGTTGTAGCAAAGCCAGTTGGACTTGGTAAAAATGTCTGGGATGGTGCACCAGAAGCCAGGAATGCTGTCATTTTTTGCTTAAATGGGTGGGGAGTGGGGCGGGAGGCTAAACAGGATTCAGCAAGCAACTTGTTGGGGAGCTCTGCCCATCCCATCCTCCCTTCTCCCCCAGGTTACATTCTTTTTCTGAACCATCTGACCTTGCAGGGCCCAGTACATAACTGCTCCCTGCCCTGAGGTGGAAAAGTATAATTCACTGGGCCCATCGTGATGGGAATGGGTCCAAGAGAAAGTGTAGCGAGAACTTTTCTAGGGTCTTCCTTTTTACTTTTGTTCAGATTTGGGAGAGGATGGTGGTGGAGAATCACCTGCTTCTTTCACAAAGAACCTCTCAGCCCACCGGTTTCCTGCAGCCACTGCTTCTCACCAAGCTCATTTACATAAGAAGTGCATCGAATGGTAAAAGCCAAGTCACATGTAAACTATATTTGGAAATTAATGATGTTCACTTTTAGCAACAAAATCTCAGTTTTTGCATACTGTCAGGTTTCTTAATGATGTTTCAGAGATTCAGAATTGTCATTTAGCAACTGTTTGTATATGAAAATTTGCTGCCAAGCCACTTTTATGCTTTGTCAGTCAAAATGACATCTGCAATTGTCAGGTGTGACCTAAGCTACTTTCAGGGTAAGGAGAGCTTTGGAATTAAGCTTTTTCAAAGAAAGTTTAGTCACCAGAGTGAACAGCCAAACTTTGAATTTGGAAGAAAGCAAAACTGGAGCCTTCTGCACTCCCTGAAGGTGAAACATTCTTCAGTATTTCCAAGCAAAGGATTGGACCTGGACTAATGCCCTTAGTGTTAGACTAAGGACTAGCGAATATACATACTTTAAAATAAATAAAAATTGCTACACTTTTTAAATGGGCACATATGTCTTTCCTGTCCCATTTTATTTTATTTTTTTGTGGTATGTTTACTTAGTTCTCTTAAATATTTATCATTTTAAATTCACAAATTAAATAAAATGTACAAATCTAATAAAAGCCTATTATTTAAAAAAACTAATAAAATTTAAAAAAATCTTAGTTTCACTGCCTCATTCAAGACAACATTTACATTTAAGTATGTTTGTATTTCTTTTACTGAGATAGTTTTTTTTTTTTCTTTTAAATCATGGTTATCTTCATTGCTAAGATATAATTTTCAAAAAGGTAAAATCATGACTCATGAAAATGTAAACATGTATCAAAGATGATATTAAACTCCCTAATTAATGAGAGAACCAGGAAGATGTTCAAACTTGTTCAAATGAAAATTTGAAGAATATATAAACATATATACACACACATAATCAGGAATGCTGACATGAATTTTCTAATAGGTGGAACAAAACTGATTAATATCCTACAGGATGATAAAATATAATCTCATGATATATGTTTAGGGTCATCTGCAGGCTGGGGATAAATATTTCTACTAACAAACTTCATTTGCAGTGATATAAATAAGAATCATTTGCATTACCATCAGTTTTCTGCAATGTGACTTCTACCTCTGTAGAGTTTTAAAATCACCTAATCTTTAGAAATAGAATCAAATGTACATAGTTAAAAAGAATCAGATAACCCCTGGCTTCCATAACTCCACTGAAAGGGCAACCAGTAATCTCTTTTGCCCATTTTTAACTGTTGGACAATTTTCCTGACATTACATTAAAAAAAAAAATTGGAGTATAGTTGATTTACAATGTTGTGTACTGCAGGTGTACAACAAAGTGAATCAGTTATACATCTACATATATCCACTCTTTTTTTTAAGATTCTTTTCCCACATAGGGCATTACAGAGTATTGTGCCCTGTGCTATACAGTAGGTTCTTATTTGTTATCTATTTTATATATAGTGGTGTGTATATGTCAATCCCAATTTCCCAATCTATCCCTCCCCTCCACCTTATCCCCTGGTAACCATAAGTTTGTTCTTTACATCTGTGATTCTACTTCTGTTTTGTAAATAAGTTCATTTGTATCCTTTTTTTAGATTCCACATATAAGTGTTATCATATGATATTTGTCTTTGTCTGACTTACTTCACTCAGTATGACAATCTCTAGATCCATCCATGTTGCTGCAAATGACATTATTTTGTTCTTTTTTATGGCTAAGTACTATTCCATTGTATATATGTACCACATCTTCTTTATCCATTCCTCTTTTGATGGGCATTTAGGTTGCTTCCATGTCCTGGCTATTGTAAATAGTACTTCCATGAACATTGGGGTACATGTATCTTTTTGAATTATGGCTTACTCCGGGTATATGCCTAGGAGTGGGATTGCTGGGCTGACATTACATTTAATTACATTTCTGACTTTGGTGAGAGGTAAATCTAATCCTTTTCAGGTGTCATTTTGGATGGAGGCATGATATGTTGTACATCCTTACAAGTTCATTAGTTATGGTGTAAGGCCTAAAATTAAGGTCCAATATTATGTGCTGCCTTGACATCTGAGGAAACTGAGAGGGCCTTGAATGGTCCAACCGCAAGTTCCCCTCCCCACTCTTCTCCCATTGATATTGACCTTTAGTCAAACAACTCTTCTTATCAAGGGGACAAGGCACATTTCCTGCTTAATCCTGAGTAGAGATGGTGTTCTCTGCCAGCTCACATAGTAACTCAAACAAGCCAATCACATCCTCCTGTGGTAACCAGGGGCACCTCACCCTCTTGATACTACAAAGCCTGCCTCCCACAGACCTTGCTTGTTCACTCTGCACCCAAGGGCAACCCTTGTGTGTCTCTGTGCAATGTCTTTGGCTCCCAGGCTATGAGTATCTGTGACTAATGCTTCTGTCAGTCTTATCTGTCCTGTGTTGGGTGTCAGGGTTCAGCCATCACCATAGTTGGAGGGTAGGAATCTCTCCTTCATCAATAGGTAAATAGGGGGTGATTACAACATCAGTTTAGAGAGTTGAATAAGAGCAGAGCAGGGGAAGGGAAAATAATATATCATCTAAGGGCAAACAGACCAAGGTCCAGCAGAAATGGTGAGTGAGACTCATGGGCTGAAAGAATGCTCTAGGTAGAAGAAAATTCATGTGTGAATATTAAAACCAAAGGGCAGAGTCTAGCTTCTTCAAGAGACTGAAAGTTTTTTCAAAATGACTGGAATATATGGAGAGTACAAGATCATGATTGCTTAGAGATAAGCTGGACAGGTAAGATGTAGCAGTGAAAGCCAAGTTTAGGAATTTGGACTTTATCTTAAAAGCAATAGGAATGATTGAAGAGGGTGTTATGTGATCAGGGTTGTGTTTAAAAGAATCTTTATGGCTTTAACAGAGAGTGAAGAATGTTTAGAATAGAGATTGGTAGCTAGTAAGGAAGTCATTAAAGCAATCTGGGTATAAATATGGTGTCTTTTCCAAGAGTACGAATAGTAGAGATGGAAATAAATGGGCTTAATTTAGGAAATATTGAGAAATTAGGATTTAGTGGGTTTGGTGATGAATTGGATGTGGGTAGAGTTGCCAGATTTAGCAAATAAAAATACAGGATGTTCACTTCCATTTGATTTTCAGATAAACAACAAATAATTTTTTTAATGTATGTTCCAAGCAATAGTTGGATCACATACAAATTATTAATTGTTTAACTGAAATTCAAATGTAGCTGGGTGACCTGTATTTACTTGACAACCCTAAATGTGTGGTTGAGATAGAAGGAGGAGTTAGATGACTTCCAGGTTTTTGAAGTATGAAGTTGTTAGAAGAGTGAAACAAGGATTTTCTATTTACTCAGAATATGAATGCGTATTACAAATCAAACATTCCACAAAGAAAACCCACTTCAAAAACACATCTTTGGGAAGGTGATTTTACATTTTGATCTTCTTCATAAAACATGGTATATTTTGAATATTTTTCCTTGGGAGGAAAGGAAGAACTGTCAGAAATAGAATAAAGTAAAAGATGGGAGGATAAAGTAGCAGTATATTGTGAAAGGGAATTCTGTTTAGGGGCAGATGAGTGGGGTCTAAGGTGAGAAGACCCTGACCTTGGATTGCTTTGATGTCAGGTGACTATAGTTATGCTTGTTTCTGCTTTTCATTGTGGTTTTATGTGAGTTTCACTTTATATTAAGGGAGGTTGTTCTGCTCAACAAAGTAGTAGGGTTTATTAACTTTCAAGGTCAAATAAGTGAGATTCTGGTTATTAAATCTCAGCATCTAAAGGTAATGAATCACAAAGATTAATTTGGCATGAATCATAAACCAAAAAGTAAAAGCTAAACCTATAGAACTTCTCAAAGAAAACATAGTGGATACCTCACAATCACAGGATAGACAAAGATTTCTTAAATAAGATGTGGAAGGAAAAAAACATAAGAGAGGAAAATTGTAAGTCAGATTTTAGAAAAATTAAAATTCTGTTTATCAAAGACATTGTTAAGAAATTGAAAGGACAATCCATAGATTGGGCAAAATATTCAAAGTACATATATCTGACAAAGGACTTGTATTAAAAATATTCTTAAAACTCCTAAATCTCAATAATAAAAGACAAACCTAATATAAAATAGACAAAAAACGGAAAGATATTTCACAAGAGAAGATACATGAACAGCCAATAAACTCATGGAAAGATAATCAACTTCGTTAGTGTTCGGGGAAATGTATTTTCCTGAAGTCTACAATGAGATAGCACTTAACACCCACTTGAATGGCTAAAATTAAAAAGGCTGATGGTACTGTTGGCGAGGATGTGGAAAAATTGGAACTCAGACATGCTGGTGGGAGAATAATGGTACAACCTCTTTGGACAATGGTTTGGCAGTTTCTTATAAAACTAAACAAATATCTATCAGAAATTCCTCTCCTATGCATTTATACAAGGGAGATAAAACATACACCCACAAGAAAATTTATATAAGAAAATTCATGGATGTTTTATTCATGATAAACCCAAACAGAAAAAATCCAAATAACCATCAACCAGTGAATAAACAAGTTGTGCCGTGATCATACAATGCAGTAACACTCAGTGAAAAAAGAAACAAGCTACTGATACACAGAACAACATGGGTGCATTTCACAACTTTAAGTTGAGTGAAAGAAGCCAGGTGCAAAAGAGAACATACCGTATGGCTCCTTTTATGTGACTTTATATGATATTACAGAAATCTAAACAATGGTTGCTCAGAGGTGGTATGGAGTGGGATAGGCTGGAAAAGGGAAGAGAGGGAACTTTCAGGGGTGATGAAAGTGCTCTGTATCTTCATTGGGTTGTGGTTATGTGGGTGTACACATTGGCCAAAGTTAATTGAATTCTACACTTAAAAGCTGGGCATTTTTCTCCATGTAAATTACACCACAATTAAAAAGATAATAGAAAAATAGACAGTGATAGAACTCTTTCTTATTTTGTGAGTAGAATAAATTACACAGATGTTTTTTTCTGCCACAAAAGATGGAAATGCAAAGGCAACACAAGTCATCATTGGAGAGAAGGGTAAGAGGTTCAGGTTTGCACTCTAGATTCTCTTGATATCATCCAAATGTCTTAAACTCACCATCCTCTCTGAGACAATATGGATAAAATTACACATGTAAATGATCTTAGTAGAAACCCAAGTGGTAAGTACGTATCGGGAAATATCAGTCTTTTTCTTTTTCTCATATGTGTTACTCTCCTGAGTGGTGACTGATGAATAAGTTAAAGAGTTTGTTCAAATCAGTTCACATAGGGTTGGTCTCATGCACACAGAATCAATCAACAATATCTAAAAAGAGAGAAAGTCTTGAGAGAAGATTTATGTATTTTTAAAGAGCATATCATGTTTGCAAATTATATGACATTGTTTTCAAATATTTTGCTTGTTTAATCACTGGGAAGACTTTTTTAAAAAGAGCTACTCAAAATTATTTCTTTTTAAGAACTACTTTCAAACATATTTTTCTCTAGAAAATATTTTTCCCAAGAATGAATCTCTGTCCTGTGTCTTATGGAACACATTTTGAAAACACTATTAGTAATTTAAAATATTCACAGATTCTCAAGTAATGCTGAGATGACAAATCAGCTTATTAAGATAACTGAAGTGAAATAAAAAAGTACAAGCTTTGTAGCATGCAAGTTAAAACTAATGAACTAATGAAATTATGATCATATTATTTACAGGTTAAACATTCAATTCAAACATCTCTCACATTTGTAGTGAGGCTTTTCAAGAGGTAATAAAAGGGAAATCTTGTCTTATGGAGATTCCAGTAGCACGCTGTTTCTTTAAGAGAGTTAACAAATTTCTTCCTCTCAGTAAATTTAAGATTTATGAAATAAACACTCTACTGAATGAAGAATAAGGGACATACTATTTCAATTTAAAATGTTATACCATTTCTCTTTCAATAAACAATCAAAAAATGAAGAGAGAATATATTTTGCTTCTTTCTTTAACAGGTTTATAAATGATACCTGATTTTAACATGGGTGAAAAATAAGTACATGAATACTGCTTCTGTATACAATTCTATTTTAAAGCCTATATTCTGCTATTTAATACAATTTTCTAACACAAGAGACATAGCCCATGTCAAAACAGGAGCACAGAGCCAAATGTGCTTATGAGAACGCAAGCCTCCTGGAAATTAAAAAGAAATGTTGAGGGGCTTCCTTGGTGGCGCAGTGGTTGAGAGTCCGCCTGCCGATGCAGAGGACACGGGTTCGTCCCCTGGTCCGGGAAGATCCCACATGCCGCGGAGCGGCTAGGCCCGTGGGCCATGGCCGCTGAGCCTGTGCGTCCGGAGCCTGTGCTCCGCAGCGGGTGAGGCCACAACAGTGAGAGGCCCGCGTACCGCAAAAAAAACAAGAAATGTTGAGGATGGCTTTGAACTTCCACAGTGCATAGAATGCCTAATATCAATTTGACTTCAAGAGACTGGAATACTCCAACTAACTGTTGATTTATAGGTATTTTATTTTTACAATTCGCCACCTTTCTGAGTTTACTATTTTCCAACTGGGGCTTCTAGATATAAAATTATATCACCTGTAATAATTGTAGTGGTGTTTTCTTCCCCTTTAATATCTTCACATTTCATTTATTTTTATACTGTATTTCATTGACTGGTACTTACAGGAAAATAATTATGGAAAAATGAGCATCTTGTCTGTGACGGATTTTAATAGAAATGCTTTTAAATTTCACCATTAGACATGATTTTTGCTTATTTTATTTTTATATACATAAATGTGTATAATTTTCTACATTAAATTAATAGTCATCTATTCTTATTCTAAGTTAAAAAAAAATCAGGACTAGAAGTTAACTTTTACAAATTAAGTTTGGGGTACCTATTGGGAAACCATATGATTTTTCTCCTTGGACTTATAAATGTGATAAATTATACCTATAAAGTTTTACTGTATGATTTTTATTTGCAAATATTTTATTTAGTACTTTAAAATCTATACTCATTAGTGACATTTGTCTGTAATTTTTTGTGACATATAAAATTTTGTTATTACTAATATGATTATACATAATGAATTTTTTTTTGTAAGATAAGGGATAGTTTGAACAACAAAACATTATATATTAAACATTTAAAAAAATTCACCTCTGAAATCATCTAGGCCTTTGGAAGGTAGTCTTTGAAACCATTTCAACTAATTCTATGATTATAGTATTAATTGTCAATGAATTCATTAACCCATTTTATTCAACAGAGATTGAATTGTTTATGAGTTGAACTTTTTTCCACAAAGTATTTAAGATGGCTAGTGGAAACATTAAAAATAGGAATTTGATCTTAAATTGCATGGTATATGCTGCAATTCAATTTTATTAATGAAAAAGCTATAGTTCCATTATATTCCATATATATGTTGAGTGGAACAACACCTTGTGTGTGTTATAAAATAAAAATAACTGGTTAATGTAGCATGTCGAGAATCTGTTTCTGCCTGAAACTTGAGTCATAGGTTCTTCTGAAATAAGGGAGTATGTTTTACTCATATAGGAATATATATTTTATTATCTGTATCCATACAGTGCTCTGGCATATAATGAGTGTTCAATAAATATTTGCTCCTTTAAAAAAAAACATGAATGAATCAGCCAATATAAACACACCTTTTTTTTTTTTTTTAGGATTGGCATAGCCGTGCTGAGCACCATGGCACACGGACTCCTACTGGCGCCATCCCAGCCCTGGGAGCTATAGCATGGTCAGAACAAGTGTTTCTGTTCCTTTTTCTCTTAGAAACTGCAAAATACATCAGGCTAGCAGCTGGTGCTGGATTTTCCCTCATATATCCTATTGGAGATTAAACATTAGGGAGAGGAAGAAATACGTAGTTTTGTTAGGATTGGTAGGAACAAAAGGAAGGTTAAATGATGCAATAAAATGTTAAGATTTGTATTTGGAAGAAAAATATGTTATATATTAGTTGTTAGATGCAGGCTTAATAAAAAATATTAGCCAAGGAGGTGAAACACAATATCCTGTTTAGACTTTTTGCTTTCAATTTTATAATAAAGTTACCATTTATTATGCTTATGTAACAATTAAAACTCATTTACTCTAACAACAATAACAAGTAGTTGCTAGTTGCTTTTCATTTTTATCTCACTTATTACACATACCAATTCTATGAGCAAGGCAATCTTTTAATCCCCAGCTTACAGAGGAGTAAACTGAGGCTCAGAGGGAATGCATTCGTAAGTTATGTGTGAAGTAAGTGGGAAGCCAGGCTGTAAATTCACACTTGTCTGGCTTCAAAACACTAGACAACATCATCTGACCATTTCACTTTAAGTTATAAAAATGTTTTAAAATGTTCTCTCTGGGTGTCTTCTATATCACCCCTGTTCCTTCACCATATTTCATCGCTTCCTGAGAAATCAAGTGGACATGCACTACTGCAGCAAGCTGACTGTAATATTCCAGCCTCTTCAGCTTTTATCACCCTATATGTTTCAGCTTGCGTATTTACGTGACCATCAGAACCAAAGTTTGTTCATATGACATAAAGGGCTATGCTTTTTTTTCTTGAATAATCTATCACTAATAATAGTCTGGGTGCTTTTTACAACTAATTTTTACATATGGAAAACATTTTAACAACCTGATAGATAATACAGAGAAATTATATGAAAACTATCAGCATGTTCAAAATAAAGGTCACATGCAAGGCATTTCAGTTATTTGATAAAACTGTCATAAATTTATACAGCCGTCATCTCCTTTTGCAAATTTCTGGAGCAGTAAATGATCTTCTCCAACCTGTTAGTTTAGTTTCAGTTTTGGAATAGTAACTATTTCTCTTGTTTACGTTCAGAGACGTTCTAAGCTAGTAACCTTCCCAAGAATTGAGTACATAAAAGGTCACATTGACCCTGACTTATCTGAACATTTCCAAGTTTTCTGGCTCACCCAACAGGGCTCTAGATAAGCCAGTGGCTACACAGCACAAAAAAGGTCACTGCCAAAGACATGTCTTGCAACATTAGGGCGGGTTTGCATTTTTTTTTTTTTGGAGTGAGTTTCTCTCCATATGAGATGAAGCAATTTTCATTTCTTCCAGATTAAAATCTCATTTCCTATAGAAGCTATCTTCTTTAGCTAACTCACCCTAAATGCATGCATTTTGGGATAAAAATATTGAAACCTATGGGGACTATTATAGATCAAGCAAAGGATAAATAGGGTGCATTAATACAATAGAATAATAAATATTGATTTACATAAATATAATAGTATATAAAACAATTATGTATCATAATTATAAAATATTACATTTATACATAAAATACATAATTGCAAAATATACCATATATTATATAATATGTATTAATTATGTATTATAATAATATAAATACTAGTAACTATAATAATAAAAATAGAAAGAAAGCAAGGTAAGAAAGTTTGATGGCCCAAGTAGTGCTTGAGCTCAGAAGAGTACTTTGCATGGTAGAATGGCTGTAAGGTGGAAGTGACACTCTCATATAACCTTTCTTATGTAATATTTTGCTGACCCTGATGATACTAATTCAATTACTCTATTTTAAAAATACATTGTAAATCAAATATACTTCAGTAAAAAATTTTAAAAAACATATTAAAAATAAATTTAAAAATAAAAAAATACAGAAAAACACACACACAAAAAGTAAAAATCACTTTAATTCTACTACCTTTAGCCCCATGAATTTATAAAAAGAAAGACATGAAAATATATCTTCTATCTCTCCAGTTCTTCCTACTGAAATAGCCACTGTTTCTCATTCATTTTTAGTAGTTTCTAACAATGCGTCTTGAAGTGGCTGCCACCTCATCACCAGAAGTTCTGGCTTTCCCATGACCTACCAGTCTATCAAGAAGTACAGCCTGAGCCATAAATGGGGCTCAGGAACAGTGCTCTGCTATCTATTCGAGTCACTGCTTCCCCGTCACATGTGAGGGAGCTCTGCACACAACCACGTTTTAACTGCTTGGCATCAGGGCTGCCTCTTAGACCTGGACCTACTCCTTGCTTCTGCTTCTTTCTAGAATCAGGTGCCCAAACAGCCTGATGCTTGCTTATTTCTGCTTGGGAGCACCTCTAGTTCTCTCCATCCCCTGGCTTCAGTGTGAGATGCAGCTCCATAAACCCTTACTTCTTAGATGCCTTCATTGAAACACACAGATTCCTTCTGCTCCAGAATTTTATTGCAATTTACTGTGGGGTGTACAGGATGTTGTTATACATTACTGGGTGCTCCCTTTAGCACTGAAGACACTCATTCTTCCTGCTGCAAAGAATGTTACCTGCTGACAGCGCACAGCTGAGTCCACCTTCAGGAACTGCCCTCTGCCAAAGGAAACAACCTTGCCCACGGTTATGGTTATGCACCTTAAGGGTGGAACAGCCCACCTTCAATGACTGGTTGATGAGAAGGTGCAAAGGTGCTAAGAAGATGGCCCCCTTTGCCCATCATTAAAGGGCCAACCAGCTTTAGAGCTCCCTGAGGCATCACTGATAGCCTCTATTGCAACCACATCACGGTTCAACTTCTCCCTCTGATCAGTCCTGCTGCCTCCTCCCACCTCCCTTACAGGTGTTCCTGAGGAATGTCCTTAATTAACCACCTGCATACACATCCCTGTCTAGTTTGTTTCCTGGGCAACCTGACCTATGGCATGAGGGTAAAAAGAATAACATTAAAAGCTGCACAGGTTTTAAAATTATGGTCCCAGGCCTTTAATTTCTGACTCCTGAAATTGTAAATTGTTACTCTGATGGGATTCTGCCCTCCTCTATAAAGTGGAAACAATAAAAGAGCTATATGAAATCTATTTTCTAGGAAGACTATCTAAAGGTAATCTGAATAATAGTTTTCCTTTGCCTTGTGTTGGGTGACAAGTTCTCTAGGACCCTGTCCTACCCAAGAATTGTCACTTCTCAGATTTACTTATTATCCCATCTGACTAGTAAATGGTCATGGAACAATAGATTTATGTATATGATAACAGTGGGGAGGCTGACCAGTAAGTTGTAGTTCCTGGGCAGCAGAACCAACATACATACTAGCTGGCTGTGAATTTACTTGTAAAATGTGAGTGTGATCCAAGTCCCATATTAAGCAAGCCCTGGAATTTATAAGGCTGAAAACTCCTTGAGAGTAGGGCCAATTTTGATGGTAGGTACTCAACCTACATATGCTTTATTCCTGAATTAATATTCCTCTTCTACATGGAAGTAATACTCAAATACAACCTGTAATATATTGATGAATATGTTAACCGAGAAAGCATACAAACAATAAGTGGATATTTCTTTCATTCCTTAGCATAGAATTAATTGGACATTAGGGGTATTCTGAACATCAGTAATATTCCTTAGGATTTGCTATATATATAATCATGTCTGAATACACTTTTATTTCCTTCTTTCCAATCTTTATGACCTTACTCAATTTTTACAACCTTATTTCATTGGTTAGAACCTCTGGAACGATACTAAATAAAAGTGGTGAAAGTCAACATCCTTAATCTTGAAAAAGTGTTCAATATTTCACTGTTAAGTACTATGTTAGCAGTAGGTTTTCAATAGATGTCTATTATAATATTGAGTTAGTCCTCCTGCACTTTTAGTTTACTGAGATTTTTTTCATGAGTTTTTGTTGAATTTCTCAACTTATTTTGCATGCATTTATATATGCACATGATTTTTCTCCTCTATTCTGTTAATCAATTACATTGATTGATTTACAGTTGTAAAGTCAGTCTTGAATACTTGGTCATGATGTATTGCCCCTTTATATATTGCTGGATTTGACTTATTAATATTTTGATAAGAATATTTACATGTATATTCATTAGGGATTTTGTTTCTTGTAATGTCCTTCTTAGGTTTTGGTATTAAGGCTGTGTTGATCTCATAACATCAGTTGAAAAAGTATTCCCTCATCCTTTATATTCTAAAAGGGTTTATTCAAGACTGGTATAAATGTTTGATGGAATTCATCAGTGAAACCGTCTTGGTCTGAAGCTTTCTTTGTAGCTTTGTGGGAAGGTTTCAAATTATGACTTTAATTTCTTTAGTGCTATTCAGATTTTTCTCTTACTTTGCATCAGTTTTTGTGAGTTGTGTGTTTTTTTTCAAGGAATTTGTCTATCTCAGTTGTCAAATTTACTGAATTATTTTGAACATAAATGTCTTCAAAATATTTCCTTAATAACCATTTGATGTAGGATCTGTAGTTATGTCCCCACATTCATTTCTAATGTTGGTAATTGGTTACCGATGTTTCCTTCCTTCCTCCTTCCCTTCTTCACTTTTCCTTTCTACTTTCCTTTCTTTTTAAAAATTAGCCTTTTTAGGTGTTTATACACTTTGTTAATCATTTCAAACCCAACACTTGGGCTTTGATTTTCTCTGTTGTGTTTTCCTGTTTTCATAATATTAATAATTTTTTTATTCTGTGTCCACCATGTGCATCATGCATTTTATAACATTTATCTGTAATTCTCAAAATAATATTGCAGGGAAAATATTACTTCTCTTAGTTTAAATGTGTGTAAAATAAGACACAAAGAGGTTAATTTTTTTTTGTGTGTGTGTATCGTATAAGTATATTTGAATTTAGAACCATATGATTTCAAAGATGATGTCTTTTACTACATTATAGTGCCTCACGGCAAAGTTGTAGAGTGTTTGAATATATGAATTATGATTCTAAGTCCAGTTCTTGCCTCAGTACTAATCAACACGATTAAACTTATCAGCATCAATACATTAGGGATGCCTAGTTTGCATAGCAGTACGATAAAACCTATAGCCACTTTTGATGAGGTAGTCAAACCAGCATACATACTAATCACATCTAGAAACAACATATTGGTATTTTATAATTTGCAGACAGGCAATCTTATCAAGGATATAAACAGCAAAATTCCTGGAGGAACCAACCACAATGGGAGTATTACCTTTTATTTCTCCATCCAGTTACTCTCACTGAAGCACAGTATTCTCTCCCTCTGCTTTCCTCCCTCTAGAAGATCAAGTTTTTGGAGTTTGCTCTAATGAGAGATTTCCTATTGGATCCAGGCCACAGTGATGGTCTAGGAAGATGCCAGGAGAAAAGATTCAACCACACTTGATGGATTGCAAAAATGACCCCAAATCTTTATTCCTTAGAGACTAGTGGACCATGTTAGGAACACCTAGGTGCTTTAACCTCTACCCTCAAGGTATATGTGTGTTAAGGTGAAATGTGTATCAATAAAAATATTTGGTCTGCAGGCTTACATGATTTTATTTTGGAAAATCATCTGAGATGTTGGAGTAATCCTATAGTATATATAAGTAATTTGAAAGGCTACCTCAGATCAGCTTTCTGTTTATTACATCAAAGTCAGTGGAGTAAATGAAAAAATGATTTACTTTAGGTCTTAGACCTCTGCAGTACTGGTTAAAGACAATAAAAATGACTACTAGGATGACCACATTTTTTCTTTGAATGTTTCATCTGCTCACAAACATTTCTTTGAATGTTTCATCTGCTCATCTGACTGCCCAGATTTCTTCCCTTTACTACTTATAGTAAGAAGCATCCAATCCTGAACTTTTAGTGACTTTTTCTTTCTCTGCTTCCTTTTTTCTAATGAAATGTATTTATCTGTTTTCCCATTCATGCAAGTTCTAAGATGAGAGAAGGTAATCAGATAAGCAAATTCACTTTATTGATGACCAATAAAGTCTTTACATAGGTCATTGAACACCTACCCAAATACGAGAAAACGTAATAATAAAAATATCATAAACCCTAGGTGGTGGTTAATTCTGCCAATACATGAGTCTGTATATAAATTGTACAGAATGTTCAAACCAGGCTAATAAAGTATGAATTAGTCTCCTGTTAATTGGACTTCCTCATCTGTGAAATTGACACAATGATAATATCGCTCTCTTAAGGTTTGCCATAGTGATAAAAATGAGATGAAAAAGTTTTCAGTTTTGTGCTTGTGCCATATTAAATCCTCTACAGAATATTAGCTACATAATAATTATTATTTCTAGAAATTTAGCAGCTTAAGAATATGTAGACTTAAAAGGATCAGAGTTTAATCTTTTTGTGAACACCTTACTTAGGAGAAAAATGTATTTCTAAAATTAAATTTGTACAGCAGTGGTTTTTCCATCCATTCCTTTTGCAATTAGTACTGCCCCTTTGGACAATGTATAATATTTACACATTTCAAGAGTACTTTATAGCATTGATTGTTCGTATTTCATTAATAAGGGTATAGGTTTACCAAAAAAACCCTCTGACTTGAGAAAACATGAAGACAAGGTCATAAAGATGAGCAGGGACCAGCCATAAATCAAATAATAGTGACAGTTGGGCAAGTGGGAGCCAGATGAGGGGAAGTGATGGACTCTATAAGGCAGACTAAAACATTTCCAAATACTGAGTAATCCACCCTTCAGTTCTCTCAAATGGCACATACTAATTTTTATAAATGACATGTTTATAAATGCCTTTATTACAAAATAAAAATTTCTAGACTATCATCATGAAGGGACAAAACACACAAGGAATTAATAAGGTCCCAAATCTACATGAGACAGCCAGACACATAATCATATTAAGACAATACAAAGTGGCCAACATTCTATTACAGCCTGGAGAAAGAAGTTAAACTTTGGTTGGGGGCCTTGGCAAGGACCATAAAAAGGCAGTGACACTGCATAAGGATTGCAAAGCATAAATAGGAGTCACTGAGTAAGGAATTAGGGGTTCTGGGGAAATAATCCCTTACTGAACTTGCCCTACATCTTATCCTATGATGTAGTGGTAAGTGTTTCATGAATATTTTCTTACTTGAACTGTATAGCCACCATATAGAAGGATATTCTATATCTCTATTTTACAGGTCTTGAAATTGATGGTCATAAATAACAAATGCTCAAGTTTACACAGTTAGCTAGAGGCAGCTGTCCTCCAAATCCAGGACTGTATGACTTGATATTTTTTTCATTTCAAAACCTACCCCGAGGACATTCCAGGAAAAGATCCTCGAGTGGTAAAGTTATGGCATTTTGGGACAGAATGGTAAGTTGGAGAAAATGTAGGCCAGTGTCACCAGTGTGTAGCTCTGGGAAAGGGAAAATGTGCTATAAGGAAATAAAGTTGAAGTATTGTCTCGTATTCCATTCTCTTTAAGGCTTATCCTGTAATTTCAATGTTTATATTCACTCACATCTACTCACTTATACAACTATCACCCTTACTTCTCTGATCGTCATATACATGTCATCATATCAAACTACAAACCCATGTTTCTAGGTTTATTCTGTCTCTGTTTTCTTTCACTTTCAGTATTATCTCCATCCTTATGAAAATAAAAATACACAAACATAGATCCAATATTTAGACCAAAAGTGTAGACATTCTGTTCCCCCAAACCCCGGACTCCATCTTATTATCTTGAACTTAAGAAATAACTTTAAATGAACCAATTGTAACTGACCTGTAACTATTCATGTGTTTTGCGAGGTAACTTTTTAAAAAATATGATTTACACTTCTGTTGGAAAGCACTCTGGCCAAAATAAATTAAAGGCCAAACTTTCTAGTTCAAAATTCACAAGGCTTTAAGTTTGCAGTAGTGTTTCATTTCAAATAAAGGTGGTTTGGCCAGCTCTAGTCCTATTCTAGGCTGGTCATCAGAAGTCCCATGACATCATTTTTGAAATAATTAGAAGTGTTAAGCCTAGAGTTTTGGCCAAATTCCAGGTTAGGTCATTGTGTTCTGCCTCTTAAATCCTCTCTTTGGATTGTTGGGAAGCTATAAATGAGGTATCTCCTCACTCTGCTCAGAATGGCCATCATCAAAAAGTCTACGAGTAGGGACTTCCCTGGTGGTCCAGTGGTTAAGGCTTCACTTTCCAATGCAAAGGGTGCGGATTTAATTCCTGGTTGGGGAGCTAAGATCCCATATGCCTAGCAGCCAAAAAAACCAAAACATAAAACAGAAGCAATATTGTAACAAATTCAATAAAGATTTTAAAAATTGTCTACATTAAAAAAAGTCTTTAAAAAGTCTATAAATAATAAATGCTGGAGAGGGTGCAGAGAAAAAGGAACCGTCCTACACTGTTTGTGGGAATATAACTTGGGGCAGCCACTATGGAGAACAGTATGGAGGTTCTTTAAAAAAATCTAAAAATGGAGCTACCATATGATCCAGCAATCCCACTCCTGGGCATATATCCAGAGGAAACTATAATTTGAAAAGATACATGCACCCAATGTTCATTGCAGCACTATTTACAACAGACAAGACATGAAGGCAATCTAAATATCCATCGACAGATGAGTGGATAAAGAATATGTGATATATATATATATAGAGAGAGAGAGAGAGAGAGAGAGACACACACACACATATACATACATACACAATGGAATATTACTAAGCCATAAAAAAGAATGAAATAATGCCATTTGAAGCAACATGGATGGACCTAGAGATTATCATACTAAGTGAAGTAAGCCAGACCAAGACAAATATCATATGATATCACTTATACATGGAATCTAAAAAAAAAAAAAAAGATACAAATGAACTTATTTCCAAAACAGAAAAAGACTCATAGATACAGAAAACAAACTTGTTACCCAAACGGGAAAGGTGGGGGGATGGGTAAAATAAGAGGTTGGGATTAACATATACATACTACTATATATAAAATAATCAACAAGGACCTACTGTATAGCACAGGGAACTATACTCAGCATTTTATAATAACCTATAAGGGAAAAGAATCTGAAAAAGAATATATATATATAACTGAATCACTATGCTGTACACCTGAAACTAGCATGACACTGTAAATCAACTATACTTCCATTTAAAAAAAAAATAGTTGACACACATGCTTGTGTATGGTAGTAAGATACAAGTCAGTAGGTTAGTAGGTTTGGGAGATTCCTACAAAATTCTTTTATTGTAATAACTGAGGAGTTTTTATATTCTAGCAATCTATTGTTGTGTTACTAATACCTCAAAACTTAGTAACTTAAAACAATGACAGCATTTATTTTACTTATGTTTCTGCAATTTAGGGGGGGCTTGTAGAGACAAATGTTTCTGTTCCACTTGTCATTAACTGGACCAGCCCAAAGGCTGGGGATGAGAATCATGGGATATCTTGATCATTTGCATGTCTGACAGATGATGCTGGCTGTCAGCTGGGACTACTGCTGGGGTTAAGGTCAGGACACCTATATATGACCTTTCCATTTGGCCACTTGGTTTCCTCATAGCTTGGCAGTTAGGTTGTGAGTACCTGAAGAGAGAGTCAAGTTGAGGCTGAATCACCTTTTTCTAACTTATCCTTGGAAATTATGTAAATGCCACTTCAGCAATGTTCTATTCCCTTGGAAGGAGTCACCTTGTACAGTTCATATTCAAGGGGAAGGGAATTAGATGCTATTTTTTTGAAAAGAGACACGTCAAAAACTTTGTGGACATATTTTACAACACTGTACTTATCTTTATGTCTTCATTTAAAATGAGGAAATGGAGCATCAGAAAGTGCTAGACTTGAGATTACATCTTAGGCTATCTGACCCCGACATTAATATTTTTCTCCATGCTAAATGTATTAAATGTGCACTTTTCATGATAAAGAACTTGTACTATTTTGTCTAAATCAGGTACTGGCAAACCATGGTCAGTGGCTAAATCTAACACATCATCTGTGTTAATAAGTAAAGTTTTATTTCGACACAGCCATATTCTTTCATTTATGTGTTGTCAATGGCTAGTTTTGCTCAACAATGGGGGCTGAATAGTTGTGACAAAGACCTTATGGGCTACAAATCTAAATTATTTACTATCTGGCCCTTTATAGAGAGCATTTGCCACACTCTGCTTTAAATTGCCCATTTTTGTAGACATCATTTCTCAGCTTGAGGAGGTGGACCACTAGATAATGCTAAAACTGAACAATGGTGCCCTAGGCTGGTGGAACCATAAAACTTTTGACGTTTTGCCCCAGGGGCCAAAGTGTCTGGAGCATTGGACTATGTATTCAAAGCTGTGTACAATGACAAAGCAGTCTATAAAAACTTCCCTTGTTATGTCCATCAGGGTTTAATCAGAGAAGTAGACCTAATAGGGATTTCCTATAGAGATTTGACCTTATGTAATTTTGGGAGCTGGTTC